CCTTTTCTGACAGCCGGGTAAGGTCCACCTCCTTCCACACTACAAGTGAGTCATCCTGAAACACAAAAACATCTTTTAATTAAAAACACACTACTAAGAAGAGAACAGTATGTGCCTTTATAGCAGGAAATTAAAATTTCAGGAAAGGTAAAAAGACTTTCCTGCCTCTTACAGATTTCAGACAAAGTTTTTTCACAACAATAAGTTTTGAGGTTTTCTGTTTGTCGCTAGGAATAGCGATGGCCTGAAGCCATCTTTCTAGCTGGCCAGCACTCACTTTGAAAAAAAACCCAAAAAACACCACCTCCAAAAAAACATACTACAAGGTTTCCAGGGAAAGACACAGAGTTTGTTTTGTTTCAATAAAGACTAAACATACTCCAGTTCAATAAAGGGAGAACAGTGTATTTCCAATCCCAGAACTGTAGGATACTGTAGAAGACCATAAGCCATTACAAATACCCAGGTATTCTTAAAAAAATAAACAAAAATCAAGGAAACGAGAACAAATTTAGTTTGCCCTTGCTAGACTCACCCATGTTGTCAGACACGCTACGAGTGATCAGTTAAGTGAACAGCATTCATGTACAACTATTTGAGCCCTGACACGTCAGGGTGGCCTTGCCTTAGAAAAAACCTGAAGAACTTCCCTTGGGAACCAAGTCAACTGCTTTTCTCTGACAGATGCTAAAAAGCACGACTACGATCGAACTGGATGGGATTTAACAACTTGGGAGCAATGGGAGAACTGGCTTTTCTGCCAGGTGCCCCCAATTATGCTGAAATGCTGGTCACGCGAGAGTTACCTGTATGAGATGCCCCCATGTCCTCTGTGACTGGAATAAAACATAGAAAAATGAGGAATCTATTAGCGTCAGAAGAGTCTCTGCATCTCCCAACCAAACTTTAAGGGACCGAGAGACTGGCGGCACTTGAACGTGCCAAAACCCAAACCCTGTGCCCCTCGATGCCGAGCGCCCAAGTCATCGCTTCGCACCCGGGGCTGTTCCCGCCGGGGGCTGTTGTCACCCCAGGGAGCTGTCCGTCAGTCAGTCAGTCACCCCAGGGGGCTGTCAGTCAGTCAGTCAGTCAGTCAGTCACACACCCCCCCCAAGGGGGACAAGCCCTGCTGCGGCCCTCCGGGGCCTCCAAGCACCCAGCCTCCGGAAACCACCCCGCT